GGCCCCCGCCCCCACGGCTGCGGCTCTGGGGGATGCTGGCGGCAGCCGCAGGCTGGGTGATGGGGCTGTGCTTCGCCAGGAGGCTGGTCACGGGGAAACGTTCTGGGACCTTGACATTGGCTTTCTGATCTGTGGGGACCAAGTTGTCTCCCGATGAGACCGGTTGAGATGTCAGTCGGAGGTGTCAGGTCTGCCCCAGGGCAGGGAACAGCGGGCTTCAGCTGCAGGGTGCCAGGGCCAGAGGCTGTCAGAGCCATGCAGCCCAAAACAAGAAGCTCATTCCTTGGGACACGGGTGACAGCGCAGAGCACGGGCTGAGCCCTGCCAAGGCTTCGGGCAGGTTTATATCCCTGCTCGGTCCATTGGTGCTGTTCCACAAGGAGCCCAGTGGTTGAGAGCTGCCCCGTGCAGGATACCTCGGAATAATCTGGGGAGATGAATTACCTTTTTCCTTTCCTCCTTTCCATTTGTCATGCCACCTTCCTGGCTCAGCTGCTGGCAGAGCCTGGAAGTGTTATCCTGTCCCTGTGTTATCTCACCCACGCATGCACAGAGGAGCTGATCCGTCTTGTGGCCAGGATCACACCAGCTCCAGATCTACACGGTGCTGCCTGGGAGCAGGGCAGAGCTGAGCTGAGAGGTTTCTGCACCGCTGTGCCCTCACACCTCTTTTCTCTGTTGCAGGGGAAGGAGATGCTGACACAGAAACTGCCGCTGTGGCAACAGTCCTGCTCGGATCCCAACAAGATCCCGGACCGCGCTATCCAACTGATGCAGCAGATGGCTGCCAGCAGCAATGGCACCATTATGCCCAGCCCTCTGTCTACATCCAAATCCAACCTCATCATCTCTGACCCCATCCCTGGTGCCAAACCTCTCCCTGTCCCCCCGGAGCTGGCACCTTTTGTAGGAGTAAGTATCTCCGTGGTGGAAGCTGTGCTGCCCTTCTGAGCAAAGCTGGAGGGACGAGCCTGGGCCGGTGTCACCGTTGTCCTCAGCAAGTTGCCTCTTGATGGACTGCCATTGATGCACAGGGATGAGCAGCTCCATGCATGTGCCGCCCTGGGATGTGGGAAGGAGCCCAGCATGGGAATGGGCAACCTGTCCCATCCCATCCCGTGTGGGTTGCTGAGCTCCGGAGGGGCAGGGGCTCCTGGGGGGGACTTGGGGAGCCCACAAGCTGGACTCGCCTGGCCAGGCTGGTTCCAGAGCTGTGGGGCTGAACCGAGGTACCCCAGTAACTGCTGGGAGTGACCCAGGGGATGAAAAAACCCCTCAGAAAAGGGGTCCAACGTAGAGTCATGAGCTGAGCTCAAGAGGGATCTATTAGGTGCAGGGCAGCTTGGAGCAGTAAACCAGCATAGAGGTGACCCCATTGCTCCCCCAGAGCAGTTTGTCTCAGGTGGGGCGCTCAACCCACCAGGCTGCTCCCCTGGAGCTGTGTCCTGCTGCAGGAGCTGCGGTGGGATGCCCTAATGAAGACATTCCCCATCTTCCCCCCTCCTCTCCTCTCTCCATAGCGCATGTCGGCGCAGGAGGCCATGCCGGTGATGAACGGAGTCTCAGGCCCAGACAGTGACGGGTACAACCACTGGTCTGAGATGAAGCCAGCACAGCCCAAATCTTTATCTCCTCCCCAGCCTCAGAAGCAGCTGAGTGACTCTTACTCCAACACACTCCCAGTTCGCAAAAACGTGGCACCGAAAAACAGCTACGCCTCAGGTGAGGCTCCATCCGTGCTCCATGGGGTGCTGGGGGTGCTGGCGGTGCTGGGGGTGCTGGGGCAGAGACCGGCAGCGTCCCACCGGAGTCGTGCTGCTCGTGCCTCTGAACCTGGGAGTTAGGAAATGAGCAGAGCTGGGCTCTGCTGTGGGTTTTCCAGGAGGGAAACCTTGAGGAATGCTGCACAGGGAGCTGCTCCCTTTGCCATGGCGGGTGGGTGATGCCAAGAGCAGTGGCTTTATCCTGCCTGGGATGAGGGTGGGGAAGTGAGTCACACCGAAGGTTATGTTGGCACACGAGTTAAGATAAGCAGGGTCAGGGACTTGTCCTGCCAGGCTGTGCCTGGGTACGCTCACGGGGTGAAGGACTTTGGGGTGCTCACTGGTCTCTGTCTCCCACCAGCTGAAAACAAGACACTGCCACGCTCCAGCTCCATGGCTGCAGGGCTCGAGAGGAACGGCAGGACGAGGGTGCAGGCCATTTTCTCTCATGCTGCCGGAGATAACAGCACCCTCCTGAGCTTCAAGGAGGGTGACCTCATCACGCTGCTGGTGCCCGAGGCCCGGGACGGCTGGCACTATGGGGAGAGCGAGAAAACAAAACTGTGAGTGCTGGGGCCCTCCTTGTGAGATGCTGCGCCCCAGGAGCAGCCTCTTCTGGATCCTTCGTGTGTAAACGTGGGTTTGGTTTCATCCCTGCCTTTGCCTTGCAGGAGGGGCTGGTTTCCTTTCTCCTACACACGGGTCCTTGACAATGATGGCAGCGAGCGGGTCCACACGAGGTAGGGGCACTGTGTTGGGTGGGTGCCTCCACCGCTCCCAGGGCAGGACTGTGGGCTTGGGATGGAGATAATGAAGAGGGATTTCTTACAAGGGCATGTAGTGATAGAACAAGGGGGACTGGTTTTAAACGGATAGAGCAGAGATTAAGATGAGACATTAGGAAGAAATTCTTCCCTGTGAGGGTGCTGAGGCGCTGGCACAGGGTGCCCAGAGATCCTGTGGCTGGCCCCTCCGCGGCC